ACTTCAGATACTGAGTATGGGCTGGACTTTCAGTGTGCGTATATTTATTTATACGCACATTTTATTTTAAATTAAAAACCTAGCATTCCTGAGGTCATCTTATGTTGAGAAATGTTCTTTAAAATAATGTTATGTGAGGTTTCACACTCAGATAATCAAAATCAGAATAAGTTTTACTGGCCAAGTATGTTGACATACACAAGGAATTTGTTTCTGGCTGTTGATGTCTCCAATATACGATAAGATAAACAGTGACAAAAGCATGTATGTAAGTATGTGTTAATCATCCTCCAGACCATTCCACAATCCTATACCCTGGATTAAAGTACATCTTTCTCTCAAGCATGTACAAAAATATGGCTTCACAAACATTTCCATCCCCTTAAGGTAATAACAAGTGTCTCTCTTAACAAAATTTGCCTGAATGTTGGAAGGTAAAATGTTTCTGTGAGCCTTGTGCATAAACAGTAAAATATTATAGTCAACCAAATCATAGAATTTCAACATTTTCAGTTTGCAAAATAATGTATTTGATGGATGGTTGTAACCTTTTCTAGCGATAATTCTTATGGCTCTTTTCTGCAAAACAAAAAATTGATTTGTAATAGTTTTGCAAGCTTTACTCCAGACTTCAATACAGTAAATTAAATGTGGAACAATTATTGAATTGTACAACACAAGCAGAGCTTTGTCATTGAATAATTCCCTGGCTTTGTACAGTACTCCTATAGATTTAGATATTTTTGTTCTTAAATAACGTATGTGAGGTCTCCATGTCAGTTTGTCATCCATGATGACACCCAGAAATGTCACCTCACTGACTTTACAGATCTCAATACCATCTACTTTAAATGAGAAATCAACACTTGTCTTCCTGTTACTAAATATCATGTAATTTTTTTATCCAAATTTAATGATAATTTGTTTTGTTGAAACCAATTTTGTATTTTCTCAAATTCTTTCTGTACCATCTCAAACATTTTTTTCTATATCTTTACCTAAACAAAAAAAACGTTGTATCATCAGCAAATAAAACACATTTGAAAAGTCCTGACACATTTACTAAGTTATTCACATATAAAATAAATAACTTAGGTCCCAGTACAGAGCCCTGAGGGACTCCATGTGTGATATTACCAAGTTTAGATCTTACACCATTTATCTGTACAAACTGTTTCCTAATCTTTCAAATAACTGGATGCCCATTTTAGTGCTGACCCTCTAATATCATATTTACTTAATTTTTCAAGAAGAATACTGTGATCAATTGTGTCGAATGCTTTCTTTAAATCTACACAAATGCTCAAACAATACTGTTTTTGAGCAATAGCCGTTGTTATTTGCTCCATAAATTCCATTAGAGCCATTGATGTGGAATTTTTAGCTCTAAACCCATACTGACTACTATTTAAGATATTATGTTTTTCAATAAATCGATCCAATCTAGTGACAAATAATTTCTCTAAAATTTTAGAAAACTGTGGTAAAAAGGATATTGGTCTGTAATTTTTGAACATGTGTTTCTCACCATTTTTAAAAAGAGGAATTACCTTGGCTGTTTTCATATATTATCAGGAAATGTACCAGTTGAAAATGATAAATTACAGATATATGTAAACGCTTCAATCACATAATCCATTATATCTTTTACAAGCACCATGTCCATGTCAACCCAGTCTTTTGATCTTTTGTCAGCAAGTTTTTTTTACCGTACTCAATATTTCTTCTTTGTCAATTTCAACAAGAAAAATACAGTTTGTACAATCTGTAACTGTGTGACTCACAATTTTGTCTACTTTTGCTAGTTTCCCCCACAGACCAAAAACATGTGCAATAAGTTCCCTTCAGGTCCAGGCCTCCCTTGTAAAAGAGATCTGTGATCTTAGTGGGGTTTGCCTGGTTTAAGAAAAAAGGTTGATATCTAAATAAAATAATTTAGAATACATAATTTCTATGTATGCTGATGTTATTTTACATTTAGTATATTTTTTGGAAGCCTCTTTTTGGTGTGTTTTAATGACATGACATTCCAGAAAAAAGGCTTCCAAACACATGCAATGGTTCTTTCTGTATTTGGTAAATAATAATTTGAATATAAAGATACTGGTTCCCAGTTATTTATTTACAGGGAGAAATCACAGTTTAGAAATACAGAGGATTTTTAATTTTCTTAACAATTTATTTTGTAACTGTCACTCAAAATAAACTAAATCTACACTTGAGAGAACATCCAGCAGGTCTGCTTCTGATTTGCATTTGTTCTCATTGTTTGTGTTGTTACACCAGAGTTTAGAAAAAAATATTTTCTTCTTCCTAGGTTTGGACTGAGCAACAGATTTGACACAGAATTTCCCTCCGTTCTCACAGGCAAGGTACAGTTATTTTATTTATTTTTTTATTTTTGGATTTTCCTACATTTCAGTCTTACTGGTTACTTTCTGTTCAAACTCATCGAGCAATCAAAGCTGCTGTGATTCTTTTGTTCTGGAGGTCCTTTAACAGCCCCAACTTCCCCAGACCATCCCATTCAGACTTCCCCGAGTGGTTTTGATCTGATGGAGATGCATTTTAAGCAGCGTGCCACACATCGCAGAGAAAAGAGCCTGAATGTGCTGCCGTCCAGCTCTGTAAATGAGTAAGCCCTGTATGGGGGGTTCTCGGCTGGCCCCAGTGTTTCGTAGGGTCCAGCGCCAGGTGATAAAAGAATGAAAATGAGGACTCTGCCGCAGACAAGAAAGGGAAGCTTCCTGGGTCGGACGCAAAAACACAAAAAGGCTGCGGGGGTGAGAGCGGGCCGAGGGAAGTGTGGGGCAATAAAAAGCACCTTCAGCATTGTGACCCAGGGTGACATGTGATGGATGAGGTCACAATTATGATGATTGAAGGGTGCAGATCAGACCCTGCTGGGCTTTATTCTGAGCTCTTTGGCTGTTTGCAAAGAGACCTTTGCATCCTGTCATAAAAGATTACGACCCCCGTTTTATGGCGTACAGACTCGGCGAGGAATGAGCATCCATTCAAGTTGTTTGGCCAGCGCTGCCACAGGCACTGAGCTTATCTCTCCTTTGACTCCCTCCTCGCCTTGAACAGTCTGGAGCTCGGGTGGCAAGTCAGGGGTGTAGAATTAGCAGATCTCATCTCTGGACCGAAATATCTGCCTTTTGGTTTTCCTGCACCTCTTTGATCCTTCCGCTCATGCTTCCCTTTGAACAGTTGACACCAGCAGTTTTCTCCCCTCGTCTCATTGTAGGTAGCTCCGGAGGAATTCAAAACCAGCATCGGCCGGGTGAACGCTTGTCTGAAGAAGAACCTGCCCGTGAACGTGAAGTGGCTTCTCTGCGGCTGCCTGTGTTGCTGCTGCACAGTCGGCTGCAGTCTATGGCCTGTGATCTGCCTAAACAAGAGAGTGAGTGTCGGGCCTCTCGTTTAACTCTCCCCTCACATCTCCGATGATTATTCTCTGCAGCGCCGTTTGGCTCTGAAATGATGCATTGCACTCCTTCCCAGCTGAAGGGTGTGCCGTTTAAAAGGTTTCCGCTCACTATTACTGACAACAAAGTGGAAATTACTGGCTACTAAATTGAGAGTTCAGTCCATAAATCCTAAGACTGCCACTGTTTCCTTTTACTTGTGTGTGAGTTGTGAGTGTTTTGCTTCTATAATAAACTTGGTTAAAATTAATTTTTTCCTCTCTTTTAAAAGACAAGACGGTCGATTCAGAAGTTGTTAGAGTGGGAGAATAACAGATTATACCACAAGGTAAGAAAGACGTCAGTTCGTATATAAACCTCTGTGTAAAAGTGTTTAATTTGTCTGTGCTGTTGTGAGCTGATCAGTGATCATTAGTCTGTTCTGGAAACTCCAACCTGCCACACAAGATCCTCAGAGCTTCTTTGAGACCGATCCAGAGGTCAGCAGTAAAAAGGCCGTGTTAATTTTGTTTTGTCTCGCAGCAACAAATTACAGCTAGTAGCCGTGCGAGGGTATAAAGGAAGCTCTTCGGGGTGTCTGGCCACAGTTTGACCTCCGTGAGACCAGACGGTCCTGCTGTCAGAGTCTCTTCCCCCAGAGCTAAAGAGGAGATCTCAGACAGATTTTCTTTTCTTTGCAAGTGGGCGTGTCTTTGTTTCACTTCAAAAGCGGAGCGAGACGTTCATTCTTTTGTCCCCTGTTTTCTTTCCAGCTTGGGCTGCACTGGAAGCTCAGCAAAAGAAAATGCGAAAGCAGCAACATGATGGAATATGTGAGTACACTGACACGTAAATGCACCTCAAGCCCTCCCACACCTGATCATACTTTATTTTATTTTACAAAACTGGGGGAAAAAATAGCTGACATGGTATCTTATGAACCAAGAAAGCTTAGAAAAATCACAGTCCTGCATAAAAACATACAGAAAAAAAAGTATCAAACTCACAAAATCAAAACCAAGTTTTATCAGTTGCTTTAAATATTAGGAAATCATTATTATGAAGATAGATTCTAAATTTTACAGTATATAACATTATTCACCACCAAAAAATGAAAGCTCTGAGTTTATCTGTTTGCAAAGGATCTCATACATCACTGGATGAGTTTTATTTAAACTCAGTTTTTATTGAATTTACATCAACAACAACTTAACTTTTGGAATCAACACAATTCAATATGGTTGCCACAGCTGACTTTATGAAACACAAACATATCTGAATCTGTTATAAGATATTTTAAAGATTTGATCCTAAAGACTAAACATCCAACAATCTTCATGACAAATGATCATCTATTAGCATAAAGGTGGTGGGAGATGCATTCCTTCAAGTTTTTTATTTTACAAATTTCTACTGATTTAACACATTGGTGAAAACTAGACATAAGGTTTGTATCTATAACTACCAAAAAAAGTATATATTTTTTCCATATATTGTTTATTTCTATCAGGACATGGGTTAGTCCCTAGATGGGCTATTAGCAACGTAAAATAAAACCTTTGAAAAAGAATAAAACTTAAGACAATTCGTAAAGCAGATTTTAAAACAGATCATAATAAAATCATTAAAAAGGTGGCAGTTATTGATGATTATAAAACTGTCAAATCTGTAGGTAGTGAATTTCACGCGTTAATCTTTTGGGCAGAAAAAGATGACGGATCCATGTGATCCGATCATTCACTTGGTTCCATCATTAAAGTTATTAAAGTTTAAACTGGTGAAATACATACAGTACATCATCAGTTAGGGTATGTGGGTGGTACTTTTTACAATTTGGAATTTTTCTTTTATAATTTAAAGGACAATAATGGGCAGAAAAATGGCTTTTTCAGTGCTCTGTTAGGCCTCAGAATGAAGTAATAGTTTTTCATAGTTTTAGTGTTTGAACATTAACATCCTGAATATCTGTATCGTTTGTCTTTTCTGTCTGCAGGTGATTCTTATAGAATTCTTACCTAAATATCCTATATTCAGACCGGACTGAGGGCTGTTACCAGACAGGATGTGTGGCCCTTAAATCCTCTCCTTAGTGCCTTGTACATACAGTATGTTGGAATAAGGGTCCGCACTGACTCGTCTCTCATAACCCCCCCCCCCGTTAAAGTTTGCAACACTGTCACTTTGCTTTATAGCAGATTTTGCACATTTGTCCCAGACATGCCCCCTTTTCTTCCGCTGTCTTTGTTGCACTCTAATGTGTTTTTTGTTAAACATGTTAAAACAAACGAAACTCTAAAGAAAAAAAGAAAAAGTGCATTTAACCCCAAAGAACCTTCAACCTGAATCCTGTCTGTTACAATCCCTTGCAAAGAATGTGATGCCTCCACCCTCTGTAACCCCCCCTCCAGCCCCCTTTGCCTTATGTATCATTTAAAACATATTTATCCACAAACATTTCTAAGTGTAACTGGAGATCTAACGAGTGATCTAACAGGTGTGTAGATTTAAATCTTTGAATCCAGTTCTTTGCAGGTTTATGGGATGGTTGAAGTTGCCTAATGCACAGCATACGTCACCGCCCTATGTTTAACCCTTTGTACAACTAGCTAATACAAGAACTTGACCTGTAACTATGTTAGAATAAGCTGTACAATGGTGTATTTTTGTTTACATAAACTAGTTATTTAGTTTTTTTGCCAATATATTGCTGTACCATAGTTTTGATTAATGAAAGATGTCTATATGTACCTTCCTAGTTTATATAAACCTGTTTACCTTGTAAGCCATATAGTGACAGTGTATCTGATGCCAGATTTACGACTGAGTTTTGCACTTGAGCCTGAAGGAGAGTCCAGATTTCAGATGGCAGTGCATCTTGAATATTCAAACAGTGACAAAAGAATTTTTTTTGCCATTTGAGGTGACAATAAGTCATCATTTGTTAAACATAAATGTTTGTAAATCTTCTCTTTTAATATCCCAGGTTTTATTAGTTTTGTAGTTTTATACTCCTCCCCTCTTCTTATGAAGCACTTCCTTTTACATTACAGTTAAAGAGATGACTCCCTCATTCCACTCATCATCTCAAGTGATGAGTATTATTCAAGTATTATTTTCCTGCTGTCTAGACATTAGACATTTCATTGTAATAGAGTGCCTCTGGATAGTACAGAACCTCAGAGAAAAACAGGTTGAAATCCATCGTTCTCCGCGACGACGACTGTAAATCCTCCCATTATTGTTGCAGTTCATGTAAATATTTGACAATTCCTTCGAAGAGCAGAAATAAAGGGTTGATTTCCATTTTTCTTTTGCTTCTGCTTCATGTTTTATGTTTGTCTCTATAATTACTAATTGCTGCTGTTGACNCACACACACACACACACACAAAGACACGCCCCACCCTGTGGGCAGTTTGTCATCTTTAACAAGGTGCTGAGTCATTAACTTTAACAAGACGGCCTGCACTTACTCAACACTTTTACAAAACTCAGGGATGCTGTTACCACAACTCATGATTACACTTTCTAATGCCACAGATCAGTGGTCAAAGAGTGAAAATACGTGTTTCTACTGTACGCCAGCAGCCCCTCCCCCCCTCCAGGTCTGCACTGACTGAAGGGGTGGGCTTCGCTTCAGGGTGGTTGGTTTTTATGGTCTTTTGTTTTCACAAACTTTCCACTTGTCCACTCAAGATCTTTTAGTGTCATTTCAAAGTAGTATTTAGTCAAATTTAGCTAAAGAAACTTCATTGTAATATACATGCTAATAAGATTTAATTTTTACTTAAAAATGGCAAAACTACAAATTTAATAAGTATTTTGGGGGGGGGGATTTAAACTTAATTTGAGTACTGCATAAACAAAGTAATCAAGTTCTTTCTTTTTCCTCAGGTGGAAAGGTGTCTCTTGATTTTTTAAATGTGCAAAGTAATAAAATTTATATGCATAAACCTCTTTTTTTAGCAGTAAAAGTAAAATCAGGACTCAAATATCATCTTGTACCTACCAAGTCTTAAAAAGAGGTAAATGTGTGGAAAAACTACACAACTTTATGTATTGGCTTTTTAAATAAAAAAAACAAGCTAAAACACTTAGGGATTCACACAATCACCAATTCAGTTACTGATTTATCTTAAATCTATAACTTAATTTTATACAGTGAAAACGATTTATTCATTTTTATGAATCGATTCACATTTTAAGCCATTATATTTGATTATAAATTCTCGATTGTCACCAGAATCCTTTTATTCCAAATGAAGTCTTGTAAATTTTTTATGTGTATGTTTAAAACTACAAAAGTACTGACAAGGATATTTTATAAGGATTTAAAGGAGTAAAATATGAGCTTGAGTCACATTTTTAGTAAATTTGTCCACCAGAGGTCAGGCTGAAGACTAAAAAAACTAATCTCTGTTTTGCACTTATTGTAAATAATAATCATAGCAGAAACCAGTCAGGTCATAACCTCCACTTCACCTGCTCACCATGCAGGTTGAAGAAAAGTAACTTGTAAAAGAAGCATCTAATAAATTATTTCTTATACATCTTAAACTCAGGTTGTTTTCAAACCTGTTCATCCTTCATATAATCTACATAAAACACACAATGCAGGACAATGCAATAAAATAAAGTGATTTGATATGATTTTATTGAACAGCAGGTGGATCGTTTACACATTAGTAGATGTCTATTTCAAAGTGTTTTTGTGTCGTTTAATAGGTCCTGTATTTGTTAAAATACAAGTAAGGCCACTGGCAATAAACATCACATAAAAACACATTTTGGAAGAGATGATTTTAAGGCAATTAGATGCTTCAGCTTTTCCGTCAAAATCCACAAGGCACCCACTTTTTAAAGTCTTTCAGGATGAGCCAAATAAATACAGTTGAAAGACAAAAAAATAAAATAAAAGGGTAAATGTCTCCCAGGATTACCAGCACTTTCATTAAAAACAAAATCATACTTGGTTGAAAGCTTATTTCAGGTTATTAGGGTTTAAACATTAAACACAAACTCAATTTATTTTACTAATTCCTGAATAATACGATCTGTGCATGTTTTCTGTTTTTACAGCACAGATACAACAAATGGTTAATAGTTTCATAACTGGCTGAGGTGGTTGGTTTTGTTCTAATTTAAGAAATATTAATTAAAGCATCACGTTTTTTAAAGTGCACTAATTTCAGTTTGATTAAAATCACACCAAAGGTTGAGCGATTTGGCATCGGTTTGAAAATATTGTCTGTAGTCACCAATAATGCCTTATTTCAAATGTCTATTTCAAATGTCTATATAAAGATCTTTACACTGTAAATCAGAAGTTTTACTGCCTACTGATGCTCTGCTGAACCAGTAAATATACAACATTTTTAACAGAATCAACAACAAAATCAAAATCCTTCCAGTTTGCTTTTAACATACAAGTCTGATCATCTGTGCACCTTGATTTTACAATCCCTATGAGTGCACCAGACCCTAACAGGTTATGCCCCTTGAATGAGATCAGAACTCCGCAGAGAGGAAGAATATGATAAACTTGGGTAATGTAGAAAGAACAGTCCTGAATGCAGCTGAACAGAGCTCCTTGTGTGCGCTGTGTGAAGACATTTATTACAGAGGGGCAGAGAGTTGCTACACCAGGCTGCCCGGCCAGGACACCACAGTCAGCGTGACTTTATTCTTCTGCAGCTTCAGCATGGGGATGAGAGACGAGTTGTTCATTCCCACAGTCGTAGCTCCGTTCACCGCCACGATCTCATCGCCGCATCTGGGAGAGAACCACGTGTCGTTAACACAGTCTGTTTTAAAACGCAGGTGATGATTACATAATGAAGCGCCGACTCACTTGAGGCGTCCGTCGAAGTGAGCGGGTGTACCAGGCACGATGGTTTTAATGAAGAAAGGCTGCTGCTGCCCGTGGCTCTCCTCATAGCCTCCGACGATGCTGAAGCCCCAGCTCTCATTGTTGATCTTCTGTAGGACGATGTCTCTGCACCAGTGCATGTGGCTAAATGTTAAAAAAAAAAAAAAGAGCCAGAGTGAATTTTACATGAAAACAAACTAAATACAGCTGAAGTGATCAGACGCTTCAAGCAGCTCCACCTCGGTAAACCCAGCCAGTGAGTCCACAGGGGCGTCCAGCTGTGGGCATCGTCTCGTTGCTCGTCATTGTTGTCGAGCTCGTCCCCGGTTCCGACCTCGGCGTCCTTCTCCGAGCTGTCAGAGGTGGTCTGGATGACTCGTAAAACCACCTGGGCCTGAGCCGTCTGAGCCTTCAGCACAGAAACGGCTTCGTTGTAGGTCAGCTGGGTCAAATCGACACCGTTGATGCTCAGCAGAACGTCGCCTGAGAAGAGACACGAGCAAACGTTTCACATTCAACAAACAAAATAAATGTAAAGAAATATTGTTTGGTTTAGTTAGTTTTTTCATTTCATTTAAAACAAAAAAACAAAAAAATACACAACATATATACACAACAAAAAAATATACAAATCAAATTGAAATGAAAGGAGGCAGAAAGAAGGAAAAAATCTTATATCAGCCCCTTTTTTGTATAATTAATTTCAAGCAATAATAATAATAATAACAATAATAATAATAATAATAATAATAATAATAATAATTGTTAGTAGTGGTATAATATGTATTTACATCATCTTAAAAATTATAAATATTTTCTGATCAGGCAGACCACTAACCTAAACCACGTTGAAGAGATTCTACATAAAACATACGATGACGTGATTGTTTCAAAAGTCTTCAGCTCAGTTTCCTATCCAGATGAATTCAAAGTGAGAAAGACTGTGTTCAGACAACACTTCCCCAGAAAAACTAGAGTCGCGCCTCCATTTTATCACACATCCTCTCGGTTTAACGACCCTTGAGCAACACATTGTGTTCCTGAATGGAAGCAGGACGAGAAAACAGAATAGCCCTTTTCCTATTCAACCAATTGTCATTTTTAGTCCTTTATTCTACAAAAGCAGTCTGAGGACCAGTTCAGAGCCGGTGTCCGGTCCACAAACAAATCTTTGCATTTTAATAACTAAAGCACCGCCTTTTAGACAAGAAAGCTGAATCCTAAGCACCTCAATCACATAAAATCTGATTAATTTATGGCACGGCTGAGATTACTCTGGGCTGATAGAATACAAACTTAAAACAAGTCAGAAATTCTGAATGGTCAAGAAAATAAAACAGCAATTTAAATATTAATGAGCTCATTTAACCTATCCCTGCAGATGGACATTTTAACAATGATTGAAACATGATGATAGTCTAAAATATGAACATGTACTACAATTATTGTATTATTTCATATTAGAAATTGTCATATATTGCTTTTTTAAATTATCTGAACCCAAGAAATGACATCTAGCCACAGTCATTCACTGGACAACTACTATAACCAAAGAAAGGCCTTTTAAATAATTCATCAATAGACAAAGATTATCAACAGTGATGATCAAGTAATTTTCCCCAAACATTAAGTCAAAAAATCATTTCATCAGCTTTGATCAGACTAGTGGGTATTATATATATTTACAGTAATAAATGTACAATCATAAAGTAATGAGTTCAGACTCAGTGCTGTAAAACGTCTGGGTTTTTTTGTTTTGTTTTGTTTGCAGTTAATTTTTTATACGCTCCTATAAAATGTGTATAAAGTAACAGATTTTTTTTGTATTTGGTCTGTCACTTTACTGATACACAAATGCCAACTCCCTGCTGAGAGATAAATAAAAGATTAAATTATTTGTTTCCAGATAAAAGTCATGATTTAGATTCAAACCTTTCTTGACGGTGCCGTCTCGGTGCAGACAGCCAACAGGCTGCACGCTCGTGATGTAAACAGGCAGCCGGCTGCGACAATCCCTCCCCCCGGCGATAGTGATGCCCAGAGAAGTTCGAGGCTCCTTCTTCAAGCTCACAGTCTTCTCCTGACAAGAATACCCACTCGGAGGCTCCTGTACACAGAATGTGAAACATCATATAAACATTGTGCTAAACATTAAATAATGACTATTTTAAGGACATCATGAAGCAAAAATTCATAAATCTCTTTATCTTTTAATGTGAAAATCCATCGACTCTGTGCAGCCAATTAATCTTCATCTCTGTGGGATTCTTTGACTAAAATGATCCCTCCCAGAGAGCCAGTTGTAGAAACAAATGTGAAACATTTGAGATGGAGCTGAGAAGTGAGGGCCAGGGTGAAGCGTGGAGATCAACACTCTGTTCTCGTAGTGGAAAAGATGTGTGGAAAATGACAACTTCAAGTAGCCTTCTTGTTGCTCTCTGGAGTCTGTAAACTGTCAGGAGGAAAGCTGGGGGGGAGGCTCTTCCTTCCCACAGCAGGGAACCCATCCCCCCTAGCAAGACTAAAAGGTTTGACTCTGCAGGCGAAAGCTAACTGTTACCAGCTTTGATCCTCTCACTTTCCAAAGAGACAAGCAGAAAAACAACAAGCCGTTGGCCCCGTAGCGGCAGAGCGAGCAGCACCCCGACTCTTTTGATCAGGACAGAGGGGGGCTCCAGAGACGAGCTTTCATCTCCGCTCACCAAACTCTGAAAACTTCTCACCCCCAAATGAGAACCTGACTGCGTAGTTTAACAGAGTGATACCAGAGCAAACATCACAACCACAGCATGCTAACAGAAAGACTTCAGACCTTTAAAACAACAAAACATCCTCATTTCCATTTGAGCACCACTGTTTTGAATAAGAGGCCTGAAAGGGCAGCATTGTAAACAAAAAGAAATGTGCTAATTGATAATTAGTAGGAGTTGAAAATAAATAAATAAATCAAGCAAATGAAATCAGATTTTTTTGGTGTGGTCTGTTCTGGCTGTGTCACATGCCTGTTTATGTTCTTCACCAAAACAAACCACCAGGGGGCACACCTAAAACTCACACCATAGAGGCTTGTTTAAAACAATGTAAACAAAAAGCATTGGGGTTAGTTTTCAGCTGCAGAAGCAACTTTGGTTCTGTAGTTAGTGTGTAAATCAAGCTGCAATGACACACAAACATCTACACAAAAAATAAAAATAAAAACGTATGGATTAACTGCAACAAAAGTCCGGAAAAAAGGCTTATATAGTACAGAAATCTACTTATCCTAAATCACATGCAGTCACATTGGTCATTTAGCACAAGACTTAATCATAAGATAGGTGGCATGGTGTACGGTCAAAACCTCACGGGACATAATCTCACAGCCTTAATATCTCTAGAGAACCTCCTCCATACAGTCGGGTACCACATATGACGCGGATATGTCTTTCAAATTTGGAAAAAAAAATTCAACGAGTATTTTTAATGTCATACAATATGCTTACATTTGTAATGTAAATTTGTGATGCAGGATAATACTTTGAGATATAAATCTTATGTGCTATTTTGTCTGTTTTGATTAAGGGTGTGAGCTTTTGTCAGTGACTCAGGTGGCATGTGACTATAGATGGAGTTATGTAGAATAGCTGTATTATGAACAGATGACTGGAGAAGGAAAGTCTAGCTAATGCAATAAATAGGTCACTATTAAAGTCTTACAATGTGAGCTTTTGTGTGTTTCTCTCACACTTTCCCCAACATTACTTCCAAACCAATCACCTGCATGTTGTATCATGTGGAGGTTTTTAACGCGGCACAACCAGCAACTCAAAAAGATCTAAAATTTGTTAGTTGATGTAATGGAAAAAGTCCACCACACACAAGTCTGAGTATGAGAAGTTGTTGTTTTATGTGCAAATATTTTGTTACCTTCAGGTAGGTGGACTGACGCTTGAAGTATTGAGGCTCTGGAGCCCTCCTGGGCCCTCGACTGTGTTGCCCCTCTCTGCTGCCTCCTGCTTCTTCCTGAGTGTCCGCTGGCCTCATGACCGCAAAGTTCACACACTTTTCACTGCCCTTAAAGCACACGGAAGAAAAGCAGCCAATTTGTAGAAATGACTAAAATCGTGTCTTTGTTCACCAACATTTAGGACAAACTTTGACCAAAAATGAATTAGGATTACAGTACGACAGCAGCACCCATAAGGAAGCAGGTCAAGAAATTTCAGGAAGCATGTCAAACACCAGAGAATACTGTACAGTAAAATCAATTTCTTCCTGAAATTGGGTGAAATAGATAATTTCTAGTAAAAACATGCAGTTGGAAGCAAAGCCAACTACGCTTCAAGTCAAGAAAAACATTCAAAATATGTAAATGTCTGTAAATTCACAGTTGCACCAAGACAAATGTGTGACTAAAATACAAAATAATATTATTACTATAACTAAATGAGTTGAAGTACCAAACCTACAGCAGGCTGGAAATGTGTACATCAGTTTTTAAACCTATGGTATGACTGGAAAAAACTGACAATGTGAACTTCTCAAAATACTCTCTAAAGAGACTCTTAAAATTAATCAACTGTAATCCAATCAGAAGGTTTAATTAAAACTTGCTCAGTGGTTCAGGAGATATTTTTTGCAAATGTGACAAACAAACACATAAAACTGGGTCTTCTACCTGTATGATCTGTGCAGCGCTCTCAGGTGTGCCGTGCATCAGGTCGTGTCCATTGATGGCCAACACTTTATCATTGTTCTTCAGTTTTCCATCTTTGGCAGCCAAACCACCAGGTAAAAGGTCCAGAATAAAAACGCCGCTCTCATCAGACTTGCGGATGAGTTTGATGCCGAGCGCCTCCGTGCGGTGAGTCTTCGTCAGCATCACGTGGAGAACCTTGCCGGTGTTCTGACTGGGCGCAGCGTTGCCGGGAGGACTGAGAGAGGGCTGGGGGGCAGCGGAAGCCGAAGAGGAAGCGTGATGGTCGGAGCGTTGATCTCTTATCTTGAAACCTTTCTCCTGCATGACAGTTAGCCTGAGGAGGGACGCCTGCTGCAACACCGCGATGGCTCGGGAGTGAGGGACCGACGCCAAACCGACGTCATTCACCTGGAAACACAACAACAACTCCGTCACTAGAACGGCATTAACACTCTCCTACACCCTGTCTGTGTATTTATGGGTCACTCTGTGCTGAAAGGGATTTATCTAAATAATACTTTAGAAAATTGTACATTTTGTTGTTATTAAAGCATTTCAGTTTGATTAGATCTGTTTAAACTGACACAAAAATCAGCATCACACATATTTAACAGTTTGCCTTCTTTAAAAAACTCATATTTGCACAGATTTGTTGTGTGTCTAAAGAAAAGCTTTCACACAGAAATGTGTTTTGTAACAGGGCATTTCAGGAGCTTTGTTATGAAACCTTCACTCGTCTTCGCTGTGTGTCCTAGCTGGCGGGTTTTCATCTTTCATTTCTAGTTTTGGGATTACTTGGGTTTATAGAAAGTTCTGTTTCAAAACTAAACTGCTGCACCTCATGACAGCCCAAAAGAACAAGGCCCAAGGAGGGTGGGGGTTGGGAAAAATACAGACGACTACTTGAAATTTTTACTTTTTTTTTTTACCGTTTTCCCTCTTATGTATATATAAGAACAATAACTTTAAAAAACCCACAATAATAATAATAATAATAATAATAATAAAAGGCACTAAAACTGTCAGCGACAGCAGCCAGTTCACTCTGACCTGACGTGTATTTGTGTGTGTGTGTGTGTGTCGTTAACACACCCTGTTGCCATGGAGTTAAAACTTGCCTATCTTGAATATCTACTTCACCCCCACCTGGTTCATAACAACAGGAGAATGCTGCTTCAAGTTTTGTCTTCAAACCTCAGTTAAGGTAAACCGTGTCACGCTATGCAGGTTTTCTCACACATCAGGCGGAGCAGCCAGGTGCCTGCATGCATTTAGTGACCAGATCAGAGCAGATGTATTTTTGATTTGCTATCCAAAGTAGTATTGTTTGTTTTAACAGTAGGACTGCATGTGGGTCATCCATTAACAACCCTCTTCCTCTTATCCCACATGTTCACTCATGTCGCATCCGACCCTCATTTATAAGAGTCCACGCTTTAATAAAAACACTACATCAGGCAAGGAAATTCAAATTCCTAAAGCATCCTAATCTGTTCGTCTTGGCATTTAGTAAATTATCGGACATTTAAATGAGTATTAACCTGAAATTTAAGCAATATTCCATTTTCAATCAGAGAAGAAAATAATCTGGAATGAGCAGGTCGCTATGGATTACTTTAACATGATTTTATACTCTTGATGTAATGTGAACAAGTGTAAAACAACTTAAATTAAGCTGACCAAATCAGAACAGAAAAATAGTGATAGTTTGTTAGAAAGAAAATTAAAGAGTAACTTTATCCTGGGATGCCCAAATGTCAAATATTATTTACAATATGTTGAAGAGTTTGTGCTATTAAATAGCAGTGCATTAAATGACAGCGTTTAGTCGATTTGTCTTTAGAATAATCGAGAACAAAGGCAGGTTTAAAAATGAGCAAAAACAGCCAAAGAACTATAAAAAACAGAAGCCTAAAAGAATTTGAAGAAGATCAATAGAAATATTGGAAAAAAATTAATATAAAGAAATGTGGGGGAGCTCAAGAGTTTCGCACAGTACTCTGTGAAGAGTTTCGCACAGTACTCTGTGATTATCATGTGTAGAAATGTGTAAAAAAAAAAAAACACCCACAAGCCTTCATGACTCGTCTGCTGTAAAAGAGACACCTGGTATTGTGGGAAAAACAATCCCATCACTTTCCTTTGTCTCACCTCTAAGATATGATCCCCTGGGGCCAGTCTTCCATCACGAGACGCTATCGAGTCCCGGATAATCTCCTGGATGACGATGTTTCCCAGCGGTGTGTCCTTTCCCCCAACGATGCGAAGGCCCAGCTCCTCCTCGGGTTCGTCTCGGAACAGCTCCACCACGTTGGCCTCGGCCACCAGACTGGACCGCAGAGGAGTGTTGTCTGGAGAGAAAAATGAACAAGTCAACCAAAACAAAAATGCCTGAACCTCCTGTTTACAGAGCTCTCTTTAGAGGGACACATAAAAAAAAAAACACCAGACGCATTTTTATCTAATTTAATGCCACTACGATTGTTGGACAAATCTGATGAATGAAGGACAAATTTGGATTTTTGTTTCAGTTATTATTTTTGGTTGTAGTTGTAACAATATACTTTCCAGAATGATATACATAAAGCTGAAAACAGCTTATCCCTCATATTTGTTCAGAAATCTGTGAAAGATTTCTTTCTTACTTGCAGCTGAAAGTATTAAATAGGTTGCCTGTGAAATGGTACAAATCACTGGTAATCAAATCACTTTATACATTTTTATGCACCAGTTTAAAATGAAAAGTAATTAAAAAATTTTAAATTACATAAGTAAGATAAAATTCTAATAAATACAGGTCAAATTTCATTAGGACATGTTGTGGCTCAGTTGGTAGAGCTGACGCCTCTCAGCAAGAAGGTTGCCGGATCGAATTCCAGCCCTGGGACCTGTCTGGGTAGAGTTTGCATGTTCTCTCCGTGCATGCGTGGGTTTTCTCCAGGTACTCCAGCTTCCTCCCGCAAACCAAAAACATGACTGTTAATTGGTAAGTCTAAATTGTCCCTGGGTGAGTGACAGAGTGAATGGTTGTTTGTCTCATTTGTCTCCATGTGTGTCTCTGTGATGGACTTGCGACCTGTCCAGGGTGTACCCCGCCCCTCGCACTGTGACTGCTGGATATGGGCACCAGTGACCCAGACAGGAATAAGCGGGTATAGATAATGGATGGATGCTATTAAAAAGCTACACATTTACATAAAAATCTTAACACTACGTACTAACAAAACTTTTTTGCTGTATTCAGCGTTTTATAAAGATAACAAAGTTGAATGAAGAAGTACAGACAGTACCAAAAGTATCTCTAATCAAACCTGAATTGGATTTACTCCTAATTTTATCTCACAGACCATTTTAACTCTTATCTAATCTTAATCTGAACAACAGACTAGAAAGTGCTTCAGATGTGGAATAATGGTCGTAACATAGCACCTCAGAAAGTGTGACGTATACTGATTAACAATTTCCATGGAAGGTTTATAATATGACCTTCCTTCACTCCAGCACAGAACTAGAACAAACAGAACTAGAACATTCTTGAACTGGACAAGATCAGGATTGTGTTTTTTTGCTCAGATATCATCCAGCGTATTTGTAGAAATTCTGTGGCTTGATAGGATCTTCTGTGGAAAACAGGACTGCGTGTCAATATAAAACTTTGGAAAAACACAAGAACTGCACTTCAGATATGAAAGGTCTGTCAAGTGAACGGTGTGGTTGCCTTCGTTTGCAGCACTGAGCCACTGAACACACATTCACTCCCTATCTGTGTAAAGAGGTTACATAATCTGGTTAACTTTTAGCTCGTTCACAATCACCTGCACTTTGATCACCACAAAAGCCTGCTCGTTACTGTAAGATGCAGAAAATCATAAAGCAGCAGACTTTTTGTTTGTGGTTAGGATTAAACAAGACGATAGAAACATTCTTTTTCTGAGATTATTACATAACTTAAAAAACCCTTCAGATCAGAAACAGTGAGCTATAAATAAACAGTCTGACTTTTTCTTTGTTTGTTTTGGGATTGGTTGAGCAGATATTTAACTTCAGATCCTACCTTTGCACTGCTCACAACAACTGCAAGAAACTTATTAAACTTCACCAGGAGAGATGTGCAGAAATTGCCCAACAATGTGTTAACAAGTAACCTGTTTTTGAACTCAAGTGATCATTATGTTTAAGCCCACAGTCTCTTTCACTCATCACCTAGACCAGCCAGGTCTAACGCACCGTTTTGCTGCATGTCGGTGTCATGCTTGAAAGTACAGGGGCAGGGTCACAGTTAATCCTGACTTGCTGTGTGAATGTGTGAAGTAAGAAGTGCGTGCAGCAGTACAGATTTAGTCAACAATGCTGTTGTTAAACAGCTGATTCTGTGACGGCGGCTTGTTGTGTGTAAGCAAACACAGACGGGGCTCTGAGCTCCCTCTGTTTTGGTTTAGGTGCTTTACTAAAGAAGAGCAGCAGCAGAATCAAAACAAAGGTTTTCTTAGTGTAAAAAAGTATGAAAAGCACTAAAGAGATGCAGACAGATTGAAACTGAGCTTACCACTTGTAGGTAATGCAGTAAATTTGTTCTTTCTATGTTCTCAAGCAGGATTTTGGACCGCTTTTATGCATTAATAATGCCAGTCGTTGGCACGCTGGAAAACCAGTGAAGGCATATTTAAAGAGGAACTACTTGAATCGAAACAAGTTTTATGACATTTTTGTATAATAAATCTGATAGTCCAGAAACTGGTAAAAAAAAAAAAAACCAAAGTGAGACAAAAATGTTAAAATAAGTGAAAAAGTTTGAGCCATGTTGTCAGAAAGTAAGGCTCTTGAACAACTCTGACTCCTACAAAAACATACATGTGATGAAACGACTGATCCAAATCCACTGCTGTTGTGCCCTGATGTAGTGACTTATCTGCTTTTTAATCCAAGCCAGTTCACAAGCAAAGACCTCAAGATGTTAACACAAGTCTTCAAACCTATGATTATTACATCTCTGGTCGAGTGGAAGAAACCAACATCGCTTGGAGGAATAGACACCGCATTTAAGAGCCTAGGTAAATGTTATTTAAAGGGGCAATCTTATGTGTTTCTCAGGCATATATTTAAGTTCTATACAATAATAAAGTAGCTATGTCACCTTCAGTTGTTATTAAAATGCTGTTTATAAGTTTAGATAGAAATTAAACTTGACTTCTCATCATATCTGTTTCTAAACACCTTGAAATTGGCCGCTGTCTCTTTAAGAATCTCCTTCCGCTTCTGTCCCGCCCATTTCAGCACGGGGCCGGTAGGTGTGTGTGCTCTGTGATGAGGAAGCTCAGCTTGGAGACACATAGAGGAGGAGCTGGTCCCAAAAGGCGGTTCTAGTCCCAACCGGTCGTTTTTGCTCCGCTGCCTGGCTGCCTCAGGACACCACAGAATTCCTCAAACATGCATGAATGAGTCAAAGTAAGACTCTGGGCATGTTTTTGATATATCATTATAATATGATATAAAACTCAAAAAAGTTTATTTTACATGACATTGCCCCTTTAAATATGTAAATTACAGATAAAGTGAGCTTTCAAAATCTTTTACAGTATACTATGCAGCATTTCCTTTTTAATTAAATCAATATAAACAAGTTTCTGTATCTGGTAATGCAGTGAAGGAGTTTGGTGGTGGGGTGACAGCTATATTCAAAGCTATGTGTACTAACAGCTGTCATTCGGTACATACAGTATAATTTATTAGTTTTTATGCATCTCACATGTGGAACAAACTTCCTGAAGACCTCAGACTTGAGTCTGATCTGACCTTATTTAAATCCAAGTTAAAGACATTCTTATTTGATACTGCTTTTAACTAACTGCACTTAAAATGATTTGCACTGCCTTTAATAATTCATTTTAAATGTTTTAATATTGTATCTTGGTGCGTGTTTGTGTATGAATATGTAGTTTTGCCTTGTTCGTGTCAACCTGTTTTTTTTCTGTAAAGCACCTTAAGTTGCCTTCTGGTATGAAATTTGCCTTGCCTTGGTTTTAATATTTTCTGTTATAAGAATCCAGTCTCCATCTTTAATGTGATCAGAACATTTGGTTGAAGGTACCTTCACCTTAAGCATGGCTTTTTAGTCTTTGTCAGGCCTATTTTAAAAGTCAAAAACAGTGTTAACATTGACTATTACAGTCACTCTGTGTGTTTTTTAATGTTTATCCACCGGAGGCGGTTATTCAGCATGGCGATCAAACTGTGCACACTAGGGTTGGGCAATAATGGCAAAAAAATAAATCACGATTAATTGTGGTATTTAGCCGATAACAATTAATTTGACGATTAATCCCCTGTAGTCCCTGGACACCCTTATTTCATAGTCACATGACCAATTTAGTGGGAAAGATTTGCTCTTCATAAAAATCTGTTCCAAATTGTGTCAAAATTACAGACTTCAGGCATCAAATTTTAAATTGTGTTGATAGATAAATAAATTACAGAACTTTTTTTTTAATGTTCGTCATATTTGAAGCTGAGAGGAGCATCGAGTGGATTCTACCTGTTGGCATTAATCGTATTAATTGTCAAGTGCCAAAAATTAATCGATTAATGTTTTTCTGACTATGAATCACACACAATACGATTATGCCCAACCCTACAGGATGTGAAGCAGTCTACACCGTGCTTTCGCACTAACTTTACAATAGTTTTTCCTGTTTACAGTTAATAAAACCTCAGCAGTTCTGTTGAACAATTTAGTCCCACGAGCAAAAAGAAAAAAACATTCTTTCTTTTTGCAAATGGGACTAAAATATGACTGAAGTGGGACATGATGCAACATGAATGAGCCGTCATGTTATTACTAAAGCAGAAGAAATTCTTTTTATGACTAATATGACTCATTTTTCAGACTGAAGAACATACTTCAATCATTTATGATCTAATAATAACAGCGGGAACACAAATATCCAAGCAGGCACTTCTTAGTTGTTTGGTAATTATGTTGCAGTGAATTTTGGTCCTTTGCTTTGGGTCGTGTGTACTTTAAAGTGTTTTTCCAAATCCTGGGGTAGAAATAAGTATTTTTTTCTAAATCTGGACGTCTGCAAAACATTGTGGTTGTCCAAAAAAAAAAAATCTCAATAAAAATGTAATTTAATAGGTAGGTTCTCTGTACAAAGTTTACAATACACAAATGTTCACAGTTAGCAGGTTAACAGTTTCAGGAGCTGCTTGAGTAAAACTACTCCTCATCCTCTTCTTTGAAGTAGAGAGCAAAATTCAACATCCAACAACCATAACCTTCCTGCTTACAGGACAAACATTTGAATTTAAATAGTAGTATACTGTCTACATGACCTTATTAAAGCTACAGTTTAGTGTTTTTAGGACTGAAGACTTGCTGAAGAAAGGGGATTTAAACAGCTCTTCCGTCATTTTAGTGTTTTCAACTGAGGAGCTTTGATACATTTATTTAAAAAAATTATAGCACAAGACGTTCTCTGCACAGAAAAAACAATTTATTTTTACTGTTTTTTGCTTTTTTTAACCAAACTGACAAGTTTCTGCACTAAAATTATTGTGTAATGTAAAGGCACTGAAACACCTAGTTAAAATTAGAAGATATTTAAGATTAACTACAAGCACCTGAAGCTGACTCGGAGAACTCTGTGATTTTAAAAGAAGATCAAAGTCAAACGTAGACACGTCCGCCCCCACCACACCCCGCGCGGCTGCGGTCCGCTTGCACCTCCACCCCACTCACGTGTGATTAATATGGATTTTTTGCGAAAATTACTGGTTTTTGATGCTCATTAAACACGTAAATGTCTGAAGGGGTTGACATGTATGAACTCTGAAGTCTTGGGCCGGTCTGGGCCACGGTGCGCGTGTAGAGGTGCTGCGGCTGCAGTCGAACTGCCTCTCAGCCCTCACTTTAAAACCAGTCAGGTGATCTGTCGTGGTTTTGTTGTGCTCGTGAACACACAGTGTTATGGTGGAAATGCTGCAAGCTGCTTTTAGAAATATAATATATATAAAATATGATGTAATCCTTGGTGGAAAATAGCTCAGGTGAACACCTCCCGGGAAAACCCTCGGCGTTTCCTGGACTGAGTGAAGCTGACCCCCAACCCACAGAGAAAGAAAAAAGGCAGCGCACACTGCTCTGTTCTGATTGGGTAAAACTTTGACTCTGGTTCTCTTTATTGGGTGAAAGAACTATCAGTTTAATCCCCAGACAGCTTTAACAAGTTTTTTTTCTCCCGTTCATTTTTACAATGATGAACACCCGCGGTGGAAAACTTTAATCTAGGTCTTTTTTTTCTTGGTTGTCCACCAGACAACCAGGAGGCGGGATCTGGTTGTCTGAAACGAAAATAGGTTGTCTCGGACAACCTAAACAATGGTTGTCAACCCCTAAAAATCCATCTGTTTAAAACATCTGTGAGCTGCTGTGTTTTTCTGATGATTCACATGAGTTTGGCAGAATCAAACCCTTAAGGTTAAAAAAATAAACTTCAGTGTTTGTCTCAACAATCACACCAGGAAGGAACCCAGTTCTAATAAACCAAGCAGCTGCTAAAGTGTCATCATGGCAACACTCAAGCCTCATATTACAAAACACTGCAAGGGAAATGTGGTAATATTAAATATCATGTTTTGACATGAAACAGATTTGTAGATGTGGGTGACTAAAGCTGGTAGAAAGGATAAAATGACTTCATACCATCATCCATTTCCTCATAAGCGGGATTAATCAGACCAGGCTCAGACGGATCCCGGTGGGGATTTCGAGACAGCGTCACCGACTGTTTAGCATCTCCAGAAGTCTCCCCATCACCCTTACGTCCTTTCAGTTCATGCCAAGAGGGCCTCTTCCTCTTCTCTGCTTCCTCCCTCAGGCGTCTAAAAACAGAACATCTAAAACGAGACAAAAACATCAAGGACAAGACCAGCGTCTTTGAAACAACACACGAATATCAGACTATAAATAAACAACATTTCGTCCTAAATGTGTCATTATACCAAAAAGCTGCAAGGATGCATGAAAAAGCAGACAAAAAAAATCATAAATGTATTTTAAAACAACAAAAACATAACAGCACTGTGCAGATCAATAGAAGACTTTAACAGCAATAAAAAATATCTGATGAGACAGGTTTAGATCGACTTAGTCAAAGAAGTGAAACTGCTGCTTGTCCCTCATCCCTGAACTTTGTTATTTACACAGCGAGGCTGCAGGAGGGCAACCTGCTGCTCACAACTACTGTGTCACGTCTGACCACAGTGTTCACCACACTGGCCATGTGGAAAAACAAGACAGCTGACCTTCTTGAACTTAGTAATTATAAAGCTGCATGTTCATGCTGAGATGGTACCAACAGGAAATTGCACAATCAATGTGACAAATAACATTAAAATATCACTGTCACTGTTACAAAAAGTTAAATTATCCCCCTGTACTTATATATAATATAGTTGTTCATCCCATTTCTGTCATTTCTTCAGTGAACACCTTCTGCTATTCACTAAAACTGATGAAATGTAAGCATTTCACCCAGATTTTTACCTGTTGTGCAGGTGAGGGTGCAGTTCACATCGCTGCATCTTCTGCTGGCACTCTGCAGAATGGGGGCACATCACAGTGAGCTTGTCCAGCAGGTTCCTCACCAGCAGGCTGGAGGGCCTGCACTGATGCAGCTGCAGTCGCTGGCGATCCACGGGGCAGAAGTCCTGCTCTTTCAGGAAGTTACTGAGGCAATGAAAGCAGTAAGTGTGGCCACAGGGAGTATCCATCGGTTTGATTAGGGGCTGCAGGCAGATGTGGCACACCAGTTCATCGTCCACATCGTCCTGGTACTCGTACAGGTGGGTGTCCTGACCCTCGTGCTGCTGACCGCACTCTTTACAGACGCGCGCCCACGACAACCCCGACGGGCAGCTGTAGGCCTTTGTTTCTGTCATAGCCATCGCCTGAGGAAGTTCAGTCCAATCCTCCGTCAGATAAAGATCAGCGTCCGGTTATCTCCTCAAAACTTCAGGCTGATAAACACAAGAGGTTTAAGTCTCTGTGTTCAAAACTGAGCAGGTCTTTACGGTGAAATAATGACCCATGGTTGACGTCAACTTGTCTTCATCTTGACTCTCTGTGGGAAAAGAAACACGGTAAGGTCTACAGTTCACACATCCCAGCCAGTAGCACAGGAAATCACAAATCCACAGCAATGTGGCAACAAACTACTGCTGCTTCCTCTCAGCACGTTTCCTGAGGGAAAACAGGAATTTTACCAAAAGTCAGCTAAAAGTCACAGTGCTCCTCAGTGAACAACTAAACTCTGAAATGAGGCAGAGAAAAAAAAACGAACTGAAGTTCAAATGCTGATAATGGGAGGAACAAACAAATGATATCCCATTCCTTAATAACCTCTTCAGTTTTTACCTAAAATTGGTATCCAAGCCTTCATACAGCTTATAATCTCCTTTTGAATCCATCACATAAAGAAAGATTTGATTGTAAATGCATTCTATGTAAAAACTTTTGGGCAAAAGAACGTTTAAAGCAATGACATGCAAAATTTACCAAATGAGTTCAGAAAATTGTACCATTTAATATGATGGGAGCATTTGCAAGACATCTAATAATGAAAAAATTAGGAAACTGTAACCTAGATTACAACGAAAACATGCAGTTTCCAGAAACTTTATAATCCTGTTTTTGTTAACACAAAATAAACTAGCAACTACCACTAGAAACACAGCTCTTCTCTAAGCATAGAAAAAAAGTGGAGGGAAACAGTTTCCTGCACACAACCCTGGGTGAAGGGGGGTTTACACTACCTTAATACCTTCATGTGATCCCAAGTCCAGATTTCAGACAAAAAAAGAATGCTTTATTCTCAGCATCACCAAAGCAACTCTGAGGAGATGATATCTTTCCTGTTAAGCATCGAGTAGCCGCTGCACGCAAACTGGAGACTCTAGCAGTCGCCTGAAGCTTGAATGAAACCAGAGCTCAAGCTGCCCCAGCAGCAACAGACCATCAGAATAATGCCTGTGTGTGTGAGAGAGGGAGAGAGACTGCACATATTTGTGAGCCAGAGTTTAGACGTATATGAGCTCTGACTGCACCGTTTTGAGGAATGCACAAAGGGGATCGGTGTAACCAGGCAGCATAGAAAATGTTCTTTCTTGTCAGCACCAGTAAATATGCGTGTGTGTGCAAATCAGTGTGAGCTCATACTGCTGATGTTGCACTGGACTGCCAGTAAATGATTGATAGCAAAGACAAAAGCTACATTAAAAAGTTTGTGTGCACAAGTATTTCCATTTGTCTTTACTTTCCACAGGGCAATCCCCTTTTTTGTAACTGATAGGGGACATAGATCTTTTTGTACAATGAGAAAAGTAACAGATTACGCTATTTATATTAAAACATGACCTGGAGCAAAAATGTAAAAGTCAGACACAGAGGCAGGTCCAATTTCCTGTTTAATGTTATCCCTATTGATTTCAAACAAACTATTAAGTCACAAAACATTCCACAATGAAATGGAACATCCCAAAGAATTGAGAATTAGTTATGAATTGGTTTTACACAAACAGACAAAGTCAACATGCCCATAAGCTAGTTATCTAACTCACAAAAGGCTTCACCATGACAATATTCTTAAGCTTGATAAAAAAGATCAATAATCAAAACATAATACACCAGAATACCTAAAAATGGACAATAACATGGTTGTTGTGACAGTAAAATACTTTAACAGTGAAATGCAAAGCCATTTTGCCCTTTTTATCTAAATGTACTTGATCCTGAACAAAACACATCAATGTAAACTTAGGAAAAAAGTAAGGAAATTTGTGTCCTGATGCATCTCAGTAATCCAGGTAAAAAATCAAAAGGAAAAAAATTCCTGTGAACCATAGTCATGTGATGTGAGTATCAGTCACCTGGAGGCAGGACTTAAAAGCCTGAATTTTGCCTGAAACTCTCAGACTGAAGAAGACTCTTGGAAGAGAGACGAAACGTTTCATTAAAGAAGAACCCGTCCAGAGGACCTATACAATTTTTTTCCTTTTAAGGAAATTTGTGTTTGGTGGATTTTTTTGGAAAGCCTGTTTATTTCTCTTTTAATTGGTGCCACATTTATAAGGAACATGCATGTGTGGGATGAGCAGTAGAGCTGAGTGTGTGGGCTGTGCAAATGAAAACATTCCCAAACCTTCTCTACCAAACAGTTTATTTTGCTGTTGCTATTGACACTTTTTTGAGCTTCTGGTCTCTCAATCAGCCGCCAGATATAAGATTTATTGCCAAGAAGCTTTGTTACAACAACAATATAACCAAACACAAATTTCCTTACTTTTTGTGCTAAGTTAACGAGGTCTTGTCCTCACAGAAACGCAGATTTCCAAAACAACCTTTTTGTCATTGCCAAAAGTATTCTCGTAAACACAGCACCGTTGTTAAAAATGTCTTCATCCACATAGACACACCAAAAATGATCCCAAAAAGCAGCCGTAATCACGCCAGGGGTATATCGCTGTAACTATGTAATACACCAAAAACAGGAAACAAGGTGTGGCGCATGCACATGAAGCTTGCATGATGGGTGTAAAACGTAAACAAACAAGAAGAAGAGGACACCCTCGGGTCATTTAGTTTCCAAAAAAGTTACGTTCTGGCTGTCTATGAGAAAACGTAAGGGTCGCGTTCTTAAGATTTTTTTCCCCCTCTGGAACCTGTTTTAAAACGCTTTTTGGGGTTCATTTCAATATTCAATTGTGAATGCAAGGCTGAAAACTTTTATTTTTAATTCATGCATTAAAACCACAGCTGTGTGGATGGATAGATTGCTTTAATTTATGACTTTTTTTGCTGTCACATCCTTCATATTTTGTTTAAATTCCAATTGCCACTGAATTATTAGATTTGTGATAATATGCAAAAAGGTTCCAAAACTTTTTTTTTATGCGGATCCAACACATGACTTCATCAAAGCAGAGAGCTGCTCAACATTAAAGAAACCTGGACACACTTGGATTTATTGTGTCTGTAAGTTTCTGGCTCTGAAACAATCATCAGATATGAATCAATTCTCATTAGTTTTCAAACACACACACAGCTGTGTTGATCCATTTCTCAAACATACAGAATTAAAAATATCAAAACAGGTTTTCCTATATATTAAAATCCTTCCTGTGAACTAAAACTTATCTGGGGTTTTATCTGTTGCTAAAACAAAGGCAATAAAAGAGGCAATCCTCCAGATCTTTGGTAAAATTTTAAACAAAACAAAATTATCAACTCAAGCATTTAATATTTTAACCATTAAAATGCATTACACTCTTTCAAAAATACAACTCTTTGAAATCTGCTTTAGCATACATGCTGTTTTTGTCTTCTTATGCTACTTTTACCTACCATTCTGCTACTTTCAGTTTCCAACTTGCCTTTTGCTACTTTTAGCCTGCTTTGGGCTATTTTTAGCTTTTAGCTAATGTTCTGCTATGTTTACCTACCACTAAGCTACTTTTAGCATTTTTTACTAGTCTTTTGCTATTTCATGTTTGGGCCACCTTTAGCTTTTAGCCAGTGATCTGCTACTTTTACCTACCATTAAGTTACTTTTAGCCAACTTTGGATTATGTTTAACTGTTAGCTACTTTTACTTACCATAGTCACTAATTAACCTTTTGCTTCTTTAGCCAGCTTTTAGATACTTGTTCTATTTTCTTATTTTTTCTTGTTGTTGTTGTTGTTGTTAATAATAATAATAATAATAATAATAATAATAATAATAATAATACTTATTCTATCCTTTTGCCAAATTATGACATTTTTATGTCTTAATTACTAATAAGTTATATGTTTGTTAGGATTACAGTATGTACACTATGTACACATCTTAAAGACTTGCAGTTGATTTTTTTAAATTCCATCTTCAACATAGAAGTCTTTAAAATGTTCATAAGTTGGCCAGTGTTGTCTAAAACATTATAGTGTGACAATAGCTACTGTCTCAATGCTTTTAGCTTAACCCCAATTCAGCTTCTTCAGAAAAGTCATACAGTACAAAAAATGCAGTTTAGCTAGTTCTTCGTATATGCAGTGTCAATAAGAGAGAACTTCATACGAAAAGCCTTGTAATCATATGACAGCGTAAGCCTCCAGAGGAAATGTCTCCATGGGGATTACCGGAGGTGGTGTGTCTTCAAAGCTGGGTCGAATCCCTCGCTTTCCTGGCTGATTCAAGTGAGTCACATGTGCTGCAACCGCACCCTCGCCATACCCAGGCGAGGCCATGTTGGATAATAGCTTTCCAGTCTGTGAGGCAGGTGGAGTTGTGTCATCTACTTTTCATCTTAAACCAATGTCTGGTATTACTAATAATACATCACATAAAAGAAAAACTAATTAAATGCAAACAAAGCGGTGAAACAACTGAATCATCAGTGTCTGAGAATCACATCCTCAAGAGAAAAACTCAACAAATCATCCATAAAACCAAACAGTGTGCTTTGTTTGTCCTCAGAACACAGACTGGATTGTTCCAGAGCTCGTGGAAACCTGAGATAAGCAGAAGCTTGGAGTCCGGAGAGATGTTCAGCAGGATTGTCTGTAGTTTGGCAGATCACTATGATGTGTTTATGTTGTCTTCATGCATAAATTCCTGCTCAAAGATACTTTCCACAGTCAAAAATTCATCTTTCAAATTCTTGTGTGCACTGAAAATTTACTTTGGTTATTGTTTTATTAAACACAGTTGGTCTGCATCAGTAAAACTTTCATTACTACAGATAAAAGACGGCAGCAACATGCAAATTTCTCATGC